ACACAGGTGAAGATCGACACAATGAAGAAGAAGATGAGTAGTAGAAAAGACCTTTCGTATTTCCCTTGATGATGATGACATGGAATGATGACATGGAATGTTGCATGCCACGTCATTTTTTTAATTGATGAAGTGGCAAGTAAGCCACCAAACGAAAATGTTAATCAACCGAATTAAATCAGCCATCAAACAAAACTTTAACTCAGTCGCAACATGCATACTATTACAGTAATTAAAAATCGAAAAAAATGCAGCCAAATTCAGCCGTTTAATGTCGTAACTCAACCGAAAATATTTAACTCAGCCGTATCGTTTGATAAGTCGGCCGTAATTGCAAGCTATTCTAGTAATTAATCTTTCGCTACTAAGTCAGCCGTAATTGGGCCGAGTTTTCCATTAACTCAGCTCATTACGGCTGATTTATGACACTAGAGGCTAAATCAGCCGTAACGACATCACATAACTAGGCCGTCTTTGATAACCCAGCCAACCGGAAAAAGTTAACTCAGCCGTGTCGAAGCAATAACTCAGCCAAAATTTTGACAAATCAACCAACGGGTGAAATCTCAGCCGTAACTTAGGCTGGGTTATGCTCGAAAGTCAGCCATTTTCTCATAACTCAGACCGACTTCATTAACTCAGCCGTAACTAATGTCTGAGTTATACTCGTAAGTCAGCCGTTTTCTCATAACTCAGTCATTTTCCATAAATCAGCCGCTACTAACCGTAACTCAGCCGTCACTGCCGCTGTATCGCTTTACGGCTGAGTTCATTAATACACGTCAGCGATTTCTGACGTGGCGACGCGGCTTTGCTGACATGGCAGTGGCATTCTTTGTAATTACGTTTTTTCCTGTAACGTTTAGCAGGGGCACGCTGGGTATAAAAAATATACCCGAAATATGATAGTAATAATAAAAAGATCTGTATGTATCTGGTAATTTCATATAAAATGTTATACACCTGAGTAAAGTTCCCAATTTTTAAATATAAATTAAAAATGGTAAAAATAGATTTAAGCAAATAATAATAATAATAAATAAGAAAAACATAAGAATAATATAAGCAAAAAAATATTATATTTTGTAAGACTTAAAACTAAAATTCATAGTATTGAGAGAAAATATCACAAACCATTTGACATCGCAAATTGAAACTACTTATTCACTACAAATCGGTAATCAACTTTTTCGGTGAAAATGTTAGAAATATAAAAAGTGAAATAAAATTATTCAGAGATTGATTACATATTCGCATATTTATCATCACATTATCTATATATGTCTATATAATAGATGAGATTGTGGGGGTGCTAAATTTAAGTAGAAATTATCTGAAATAGACCATTTTCACTATTAATTAAAATACTGGTACCCGATAAAGGAAAATTGTAGAAATGGTACAATATTTTCTAAATACCAAAACTACCCTTAACAAACCCAATGTTGCCGCAGCGTTCTAGCAGAGTTAATATAGAGGCTAAGATGAGCGAGTTTAGTAAACTACAATTATGCATTCGCAGCGTTTCAACATAGTTTAAATAGACGCTGAGAATCACAAGTTTGGTATAGCCGTAGCATACTCTTCGCAAGCTCTAATTTAAATCTCTCCAACTTCAGAAAGCCCAATATAAGCCTCGTAATTTGGGCCGAATATAATCAAATTATATTGAGAGAATTGTTAATATTGGTGGAGAACGTTGAACATACATAAACAATAGACAACGATAATCCTCGTAAACTTATATTTTCAAAAGCGTTACAATTCAAACGAATTTATTCCAGTTTCTGTTTGAGTCCCACAATGCTTCTTCTTCTGTTTTTTCTTCTTGTCCTATTTCTTCCTATCCATCTTCTCTTTCCCATCCTCGTGATAATCCTCATCAACTTCATAAAAATTGAAACAACTATAATGTGAGAAAAATAAAAATCAGGCAAATCCAAGTAAATCCAAGTACATTCATTGTTTTTAATGTTACAAAGTGTTAAAGTCAATTCTTTATTAAAGTTACAAAATAAATTACAAACTATATATATTTTGAAATAATCTACACAAATCATTCCTATACTTTTAAGCTCACGTTGTTAATATTAACCAAATTAACACAAAAAAGTTATAAAAGTATACTTTTAAAAATATGAATGTGTAAAACATGCTGAATTACATTGTTAAGGACTTCAATCAATCGTACAACTAGAAATATAAATTGTAGGAATACGTAATACTAATCTTACTGGAATACAGCAAAAGTAGAACTATGTGGGACATGGGTATAACTACTATCTTGTGTATAACTATGTATAAACTGGTGGCGCACATGCAGATAAAAACGGCGTACAAGAGAGAAAAAACGGCGCACGTGAGGAACAAAATTGAACAGAAAATTCGAAATTCACCCGAATGTTTTTGTGTTTCCCTCCAATTCTCACATATTCGAGAATTCCCCCATTGTCGTAATCATCGTTTCCCTTATTCTTCTCCTTATCCTTTATTTCATTATCCTCCACTCTTTCTAACCCTCTTTTACACAGTCATAATCATCGTTTTGCTTATTCTCCTTATCCTTTATTTCATTCTCCTCCACTATTTTGACCCCTCTTCTCTCGAATTTTGTTGTTATTCTCTCGACTAAGGTTGTTTTCATGGAGGAGGAAGAACATACCACAGTGAGATGAAAAGGGCCAAGATGCTAAAGGACCGTTAAGATGCTCTAGCCGACGATGGTGACCGCAAATGCAAATATAGCATAGATGGAAGAATAAGCAACTTCTCTAAGCATCTCTAGTGCTTCTTCTCTACCGAGTCTAGTGTTGAACATGAACTCATCAAGATCCACGTCGATTAGGAATTCACGGGAAAAGACAATTTGTTTAAAGAAAGGCTTAGCTGCAATGAAAGGACCTAGGTTGCGGAATCCCTCACTCCCAATACGACGGACTATGTCTGTCATAAGTGGTACTGGAATGTAGATCATTATTGAGGAGGTTTTTGCAGCCACAAGGTGGTAGAGGATTAAAAAAACTCAGATAGAGTTTACACAACTTTAACTTATATAAGTTGAAGTATAAAAGCCCTAAATATGCACACTGTGCGCATAGCAGATTAAATTCTTTTATCTTGGCGCTAGGGATCCCTTACGGTCTCTAAAGGCACACTCTGCGTTTCCGCTCCTCATCACTTGTCTATCCTTCTTTTGTTATAAGTTGACGAATAATAAATGTATAGTTGTTTACTTGTTCTAGTAAATGTCTTATTAACCGTTTGGATTCTGCTGCATTGAACCGATGCATAGATCCTCTTTCCTGCTGTCCCCAGCCCCAGTTATTCCTACTTGACTCGGCGAATGGTCTGGATGTGGACAAATAAGCTCTGCGAGTGATATAATGAAGTCATTTCTTTTGAGTATATGCAACGGTTATTGCATAGAGAAGAAGTCAACGTAACAAAAAAAAAATAGGTAGGACCGTCGTTGCCTCAAACGACTTGTCGCATAATAAGTTAATAACTATAGAGTATTATAGAAATACAGGAAATAAAAAAGTAGCAGAGAAATGCCAAGGCTAAAGCAATTTGATCGCGGACACTGGTAGTAGAGTTCAATATATTTGATTTATACCTTTGCTGTATCTCGGCTTTTTGGAGAGCGATATGTAATGTCATATGCGCAGATGTTCTGCCGACACAAAATTTCTACCAAACAAAGAAAGGCAGCGTTTCATACTAGAAATAAGATCTAAACATACAAATGAACTCTAGTGATTACTTACTTTCCTAGTTGTAAAATTGAATTAAGTGGCTAAACGTTTAATTCTGAGTGTTTTATGCATCCATCTCCGCCATAACAATACAATAGGTTTCTAAACAATACAAATAGCTAGGTTTAATAATGTTCTTTCTTATTAAGTTTAATAACAACAATACATTAGGTTTGTAAACATTGCAATAGCTAGATTTGTAAAATTACAAATGGTGAAAGTTCATCCTCATGTGAACTACACAATACATTCATATACTTTAAAACTCACGTTGTTAATATTAACCAAATTAAGACGAAAAAGTTACAACAATCTACGTTTAAAACATATGAATACGTAAAACATTCCGAATTACATTGTTAGCGACTTCAATCAATCGTACAACTAGAAATATAAATTTTCGGGGTACGTAATACTAATCTTACTGGGATACAGCAAAAGTAGAACTATGTGGAACTTGGGTATAACTACTCTCTTGTGTATAACTATGTGTAAACTGGCGGCGCACCTGCGAAGAAAAAACGGCGTTCAAGAGGGAAAAAACGGCGCACGCGAGGAACAGAATTGAGCAGAAAATTCGAAATTCACCCGAATCTTTTTTGGGTTTCCCATATAATCGAGTAAAAAAACTAATGAATAACTTAGTGCGGTGCAGGAATAAACCCACATACGTCGTTTTGGTATAAGTGAAAAATGAGTAATTATTGTTTAAAAAAAAAGTAAAAAAAAGGCTAAACATAAATCATTTTGTGCCATTATCCAATGTCATTGTAAGAGTCCATGAATACTAGTAATTCACAAGTGACGGACATAATATCATTCGGAGTAACATTTTTTTGAATACACAAAACTGATAAGAGAATCGGAATATGTAAGCCGTGTGGTCAGTACTCATTGGATTGCAAAACAGAGTATCATTAAAATAGTCATTTAAAAAGGCAACTACAGATAAAAATCCACAAGTCATAATATCCGAATGCCATTATCGAATGTCATTGTTAGAGTCTATGAATACAAAAAGGTCGACGATACCCCAAAGGGTGGTATTTATATCCACAAGGTCAAATTCCTTTCCAATGAAGAGATTTAATTCCGTCCTCTTTTCCGAAGCAGAAAAGGAAAACATTAATACCAATATTTCCTTTTTCGCTTCGAATGAAGAAAAAAGAAATCTTCGACCAAGCATTAAATGTGCAAATAAAAATTAAAAGTTAAAAACCGCCCCAAATGTGGGCCCACGGTTGAATTCAGGTTCAAAGACAGACTGCCCCAAAAAAGGGTCCACGGTTTAGAAGCAAAAGGAGTTCAAAAAAATAAATACAGCAAAAGGAAAAAAAACACCACGAGATAAGGAGGAGCGAAGTTCGCTAATTTCCAGGGTTTCGCTCCTCAACAGTGACATGTCGAATGTCGCTTCGGCTAACGAGTTCGGAGTTTGAGCCATGCTGATTTGAAACAGGAATGACCTGAGAAGATAGCCGAGTAAGCCCGAAACCGAGCTGGTCAGGAGACAAGTTAAGGTCAGCATCTGAGAGCTCAATAACATTTAGAGCATCAACCTCCTCTTCGGCAATCCTGGCTTCTTTGGCCAGATTCTCCGGCTCAGATTCCGAAACAACGGCACCTCGGCGGACGAGGACTGTCACAATCTCCTGAGCGCCCTTAGACTGATTCAGGGCATCCATTTTGGGCTGGACAATATGCTCTTGCTCCTTTATATAGCTCTTGACCTTATCAAGGCGAGCCTGAGCTTTTTGAGTGGTGCGGCTGACCTTGGCAAATCGGTCGCTTCGCAACCTGGTCAGCTCCCTCTCCTCATGGTCTCTGGAGAATGCCACATCAGTTTCCAATTTGGCGACCTCCCCCATGAGCGAAATCTCCCGATCTCCGAGCCTGACAACCTCCCCGGCAAGTTCAGCCTCACGCATACCAAGTCTGGCGACCTCATCTTTAAGAGAGGCGACTTCAGCTGAGTGGGTTTCAGACTCCGCCTTCAGGAGAGCATACTTCTTTTTGAGCTCCTCGTGGTCGCGCTTCTCTTGCTCAAAGACCGAGCTCAACAGCCTAAAATTGTCCCTGTTCCCGTACTTCCGCTTAAGTTTCCGGTCATACCAAGCAATCAGGTCATTAGCCAGTGCGTTGGTCTGAAACATAGAGGTCGCAATAAGAGAAGCTCCCCTGCTAGTCTTCACCTTTTCTTCCACTACTTTCCATTCAACAATCTTATCCAAAAAATGAAGTAATTCAGACACTTGGAACCCAAAAGAAGGTCAAGCCTTTGGTCTGGAGAAGGCTGCCAACAAATCGCCTGGCTCAAAAGCAAAAAGCACCTTAGAGATCTGATGACTATGCATACTTTCAATAGCCCAAATGACACTCTTTAGTATCACCTCATTTCTGTTATGCAAATTGTTGGTGCAGGAATTAGCACCTCCGACAATACCGGCTTAAACCGGACGAATTACGAATTAAATTGAGAATTCAATGTAAACTGGGAAATCCCGATTTAGCCCGTTAATAGGCTAAAAAGGGAGATCGCCAGGCGAGCTCGACTCAAAGACGGGAGGTCGCCTGCAACCGACTTCCTCATTCAAGAAAAAGGAGATTTCCTAGAAGAAAAAGGAGAATCTCGGGAAAATCGGAAGATAAAGCCTTGAAGATTTAGAAGATTAACATATCTCGAAACCGCCCTAAACATGTATAAATAGAGGGGTTTGTCCTCTATTCAAAGGATCCGCAACTTTGCACAAAAACCCTAATTGTTCTTGAGCTAAACCCTAGCGTTGTCTCTAAGCAATAAAATTCACCCTATATTCGAGTTTTTGATCTTTAATAGCAAGAGAGTTAATTGAATTTGTTTTCCTCCCTTAAACAAATTCATTGTGTGATTTTCAGAATCAACACAAATCACTCAAATCTTGTTAGGTATTAACTACCAAAATGTTTTTGAGAAAATTGTTAAAAAATAAGTTTGATCTTGTTAGGTATTAACAAAGTTCTGGGTCAATATTCTCGTGCCGTTAATTCTATTTGAGTATCTACGTCGATGATGTCTGCAGTTACTCCATATGATTTTATCGAAGCCGACATTTCCGCGGCGAGCTTCTGCCTGATTTTTCCCATATTTTCATCGCGCAGATGTTCATGAGAAAGCGGAACTCCCATCATCAAACACTCAATGTATTTGGCGGTATATACTCCGCAATCACCGGGATGCGTCATTTTAGGGGTTCCAGGCACATCTTCGATCTCATAAGGTTTAATGTTGGAGTCACCGCAAAGACATTTAAATACGTACGGAGTAATCTCTGCAAAAGGCTTCACTGCAGATATTGTAATGTCCGTAGTCGTCCCGCAGTTATATATTCTGACAACCCTATCTTTGAAGTCGATGGCAATCGCAACCCAATGATCATCTGTGATGGAAACGACAGCGTAAACCTTATCCACATCTTTTCCACAAGTTTTTTTTGTTCCGGCGTACTTTGGCATGAGACCGCTGAAGTATTCGGACGTTTTAAAGGGCAATTTTGTCTTATCCGTAACCATCTCTCGTACTCTATTTGCCATATCAGTTGAAAATAAAGGTCCATTATGGCAATTCTCTAAGATATGAAAGCATGAGGATTATTCTTCAGTCTTATTCGATACATGCTCATTATAGTAGCGATGCTCTGAAAAACGAAGGAAAATATTAGTGTCTCCGCAAACGCTGAATGACAAACAAAACATTTCTAGACTTTCCGTAGATGATACACTCACAACATCATACAGCGAGTCCTTAGGCGTGAGAAGGACATTGAAAAACCGATCCACGCGGTTCCCGCTCCCAGGTGGATATTTTTTCCCACAGGATATCTAGGGAAAAACCTAGGATTAGTTTATGATCGCAGAGTTTAAGAAAATAAAAATCATATATTTAAATAATCCTAATCCGGTCTCCGAATTTACTCTTTTATGAACTTGTTCATCTCTTCCACCAACGTTTCGTCAACTTCTCCAAATACCATTGTCTCACGATCAGTGTGGGTCAAAAGTTTCTCTGTCGTGTCTAATCCCACCGATGACCTACGGAACAAAATTCTTAGTTGCCCGCTGAGTTTAAAAAAAATAATTATCATATATTCATAGATGAAAGTTCTCGGTATTTACCTGTCAATGGGGTCGTGTAATGCTTCGGAAATAGTTACGTCTAAATCTCCTAACACAATTGTCTCGCAATCTGTGAAGCATATTTTATCAACTGATGTGTTTCCGATATGCCTCTTTTCTTTTTATGCCAGGACTAACCCAATTTTGACCCGAATCTTCTTCTTCCTCACCTGATTTTTGACCCGACTGAGACCCGAGGTTTTCTTCACCCAGAGCATGTGTTCTGTGAGTCAGCCACATCAGCCCATGAATTTGTCAATCCAAGCGAAATAATTTGAGATAAATAGCTATTTTGACCTCGGTGGTTATTACCCAGGCATGCCGTTGAAAATAACGGCGAGGATAAGCTTTATCGTATTCATTCAACTCACCACCGTCATCTACATAAATAAGAGAAATCCAATTAAAACGATTCAAAATCTCGGAAAATAAATATGAATTCGATGAGGCAGCATCAAAACCTTCCTAAATCAAATTAAAATTACATTGACAAAAATTTTCAAGACACAAAACTTAATCTAGGCAAGTGATAGGGGAAATATTACCTTCCCTGCAAGCTACGATGGGAAACAATTTTGTACATCGACCTAGGCAGACACAAAAATTAACGCTCTTATCTTTCATCAAACGCTCTTGTTTTAGCCAACATTTCTGCAGCGAGCTTTTTCCTGATCTTTCCCATATTTGAATTGCACAGCTGGGTAGATGTAAACGATACTCCTATCATCAAACACTCAAGGTATTTGAGTGTATATACTCCGCAGTCGCCAAAAGGTTGGTCCATTCTGGGGACTCCTTCAGTAATACATTCGATACAATACCTGGTTGTATCATAATTACTCTCCAAGGCGTTAATCGCGGATGGAATCATTTCCGCAAAAATAGTCGCCTATTCGATATTCTTTTCATCCTGCGACTTCAAACTGTCGTATATTCTGAGAACACGTTCCTGCAAAGAAATGACCATCGCAACCCAATGATCTTCGTTTATGTTGAGAGGAGAGTACAACGTGTCCACATCTCTCACCCACGTTTTTTTTATTGCAGCATACTCTGGAACATTACCGTACTGGTAGTTACGTGAAAATCCAGGAAACTTATATTCGACCCTATCGGCGGCCCATGACTTGTACCTGGATTTGAATAGTTTGGGAAACGATGTGTCCAAAATAGTGATCCTATCTGATTTAAAAACTTCTGGGTTTTGCTTTAGCCTTAGCCTATACATGTCCAGTACGGCGTCCAAATGCTGAAAAATAAGGAAACAAATTAGATTACGCTGCGGACTATATGCGACGTGTACAAAATATCTGAAGCCCAAAAATACTTATGTTTTAAGAGACACAAACAAACTCGCTAATAAGAATGATAATGATTTTATAGAAGGAGTGTACTTACATAACAACCCAACCAAGCAATTGGTGTCAGCTACTGTTTAAAGAATTGTGATGCCGGGTCCGGCCCTCCTCTATATTGAGCATTACCTCTGCTGAAGCAAATAACTTTCAAGTTATATACGGATTCTGTACAAAGAAATATCGAACTCGTGTGTGATAGGATATCGGTAACTAAGTGATCTTCAACTTCTCCATATACAATATCATGAGAATCTACGGATTCACTTTTCTTACAAGCAGAGTTTGGTTGTCTCTCTTGTGTATAACTACTCTCTTGTGTATAACTATGTGTAAACTGGCGGCGCACATGCGGATAAAAAACGGCGCCCTTGAGGAAAAGGGCCAAGATGCTAAAGGACCGCTAAAGGACCGGTAAGATGCTCTAGCCGACGATGGTCACTATGGCATTACTACAAGATGTCCATGTGGAAAAAGAGATACTTTAAATACAATATGTTAAGGTGATTTTAGATTCACGGCATCGGTGTGTAGAATAGCCATTCCAAGAGGATAACGGTATCAAAGAAGAGGTTACAATTTTAAGGAAGGAGGTTGTTGAGCTTTCCAAGAGGATTCGAAGCTTTGCATGTAAACCATGATAAACAATGGAAAAAATACTCTTGAGTAAAAAAAACTAATGAATACTTAGTTTGTTGGTCATCCGTTTAGTTCGGTATAGTTCTCCAAAGTCTCCAAAGTCTCCAAAGTCTTCTTCTTCTTCTTCTTCTTCTTCTTCTTCTCTTCTTCTTCTCTTCTTCTTTCTTCTTCTTCTTCTTCTTCTTCTTCTTCTTCTTCTCTTCTTCTTTCTTCTCTTCTTCTTCTTCTTCTTCTTCTTCTTCTTCTTCTTCTTCTTCTTCTTCTTCTTTCTTCTTCTTCCTTCCTCTTCTTCTTCTTCTTCTTCTTCTTCTTCTTCTTTTCTTCTTCTTCTTCTTCTTCTTCTTCTTCTCTTCTTCCTTCTTCTTCTTCTTTCTTCTTCTTCTTCTTCTTCTCCTTCCTTCTTCTTCTTCTTCTTCTTCTTCTTCTTCTTCTTCTTTCTTCTCTTCTTCTCTTCTTCTTTCTTCTTCTTCTTCTTCTCTTCTTCTTCCTTCTTCTTCTTCTTCTTCTTCTTCTTCTTCTTCTTCTCTTCTTCTCTTCTTCTCTTCTTCTTCTTCTTCTTCTTCTTCTTCTTCTTCTTCTTCTTCTTCTTCTTCTTCTTCTTTTCTTCTTCTTTTCTTCTTCTTCTTCTTCTTCTCTTCTTCTTCTTCTTCTTCTTCTTATCTTCTCTTCTTCTTCTTCTTCTTCTTCTTCTTCTTCTTCTTCTTCTTCTTCTTCTTCTTCTTCTTCTTCTTCTTCTTCTTCTTCTTCTTCTTCTTCTTCTTCTTCTTCTTCTTCTTCTTCTTCTTCTTCTTCTTCTTCTTCTTCTTCTTCTTCTTGTCCGCCATGTCGGATGCTTTTCTCTTTGGGATCTATCACACATACATGTGACAACCACCGATTCACGTGAGAAGGCTGTCTCCGTCCGTTTGTTGCCAAATCCACCTTTGAATCTAAGAAGCTTTGGGCGATCTACCGCGAACGGCAGAGGATTACCCAAACATCTTCCCACGGAGGGAATGTAATTATACGCCCATATCTACAAAACTTGTACAAAGCCATAAACAACATAACTTTGGTTGAATATCTTGGCTGCAGTTACGAGTTTAACTTGCGATATAAGATCACGGAAAGCACGCCTCCCCAAGGATATTGTTCGAAAACTATACAAATTCACCACCAATCGGTATAGGTCCATTGGGATAGGCCCATTTTCTGCCAACAGACCGTTAGACATGATGGCTAGATAACAAAGCCTAACCCTATCATCCTCAGACCACTTCCTTATCTCTGAAGCATAATTCTGACACAAGTTTTCTATATCCACTCTGCACGGGCTCAGACATTTTTCCGGGAGCTTAAAAAGACGATGGAAGCGCATATGATCCTCAGTTTGTTCGAAATGAATCTCAAGCGGTAGGTCGTCCCAGTTCAGAGCTGTGATATCTTCAAACTCGAAAAGCGAGAACCGCGCTGGCTGCCCCTGATCAAAAACCACAACTCATGTGCCTTTCCGCAAACCAGTTGGTTGCTAAGCAGGTACCGATGCACCAAATTACCATTCCAGTTGAAGTTCAACTGCCTAAAGCTTGCTACAACTCCGAGTGGGGAGTTAAGAACACGGGTCCACGCATCCGCACCAACTGCGGCTTGCACAATTGGTAAGCCGCTGAAATCAGCTTTGTGCTTTGTTTTACCCTTAGGATTTGGCATGTTTCGATTAGAAAACATTATATGAGGAAAATCCATGGTGTAGCGAAGAAATCAAAAACCCAAAATAGGAAAAAAATTAGACTCAGGACTCAGATTGAAGCAAATCAAGACGCATAACACAAAGTAAATCAAGAACTCGAGACACTCAACCCTGGTAGTCTGTTTTGTGGAATCCAGTTAGACTTTGAAAATGGGAAATTTGGCTAGAAAAGGATGTCTACTATTTTCAGCAAATACTGCTCCCTTTTAAACAACACAAAACTTATTAATCGTTTTTGGAATCCCATAGATTCTAACAAAGTTTAACGCAGTCTTGACGCAGACACTGCGAAAAGCACAAATGTTTTAATTTGCTTTTTACATACGGGAAGATGGTTATTCTGTTGTTGACTTATAGTATTCTGAATCTGCTCATTGGATTTATGAAAAAACCTATCTTACCCTCTGATCTGATGGAATTGATTAAAATTTTTGGTTAGGGTTAAACACTTGTATTCTATATCATTAGGCTTCACTCAATTAGGAGGATGTGGCGCCTTTCGGTTGGCTCCTTCAGAAGCGACCATTTGTCATCGTTTTGAATATATGACATTTTCATAATGAAATGTTAAATGCTATCTCGGGTGTCGTATCGGATTATAATATTCACATTAGAAACTAATTATGACACTTCGAATTATCAAATATTTTAAGCGTTTATATTCCAATGTTTTACGCCTTAGATCTTAAATATATACTACTGTTTTAATCCATGTCAATCTGCGAGTGGTATCTTATTATTTTAAGGCTCCGTTATCTTAGATTTGTTGTATAGATTTTCAGCTGAAGTAACATATATTAGGTTGGCTAATTTAACTATAAGACTAATACATGCGGATTGAAGTCTTTGTGGTGCAGATGCGAGATGATATCAAATGTACTTGTTCATTGTATATGATCAGTGGGATCCCGTGTAGCCACATTGTCTCTTGTCTAAGATCAAGACCCTAAGAAGTTGATATCTTCATGGTTCACTACAGGGAAGTTGAAGACATGCTATGCTGATGGTCTTTGTGGTGTGAATGGAATGAATTTATGGGAGGTGACTACAAATGTTAGAGTCAAACCGCCTTTTTAGACCAAAATGTCTAAAAGAGGAACCAAAAGAATATAATACTATTTCTAACTTTCATATTCGTTGATTGCTGTGTCTCTGATATTGTTGTTACCTTTTTATGTAGCCTTGTGGCATATGTGGACAGGAAGGGCACAACAAGCTGAAATGCAAAAATGCACCAATACAAAACCAACACACATCGCAGACCAACATGTAAACATAACTCACACAAACATCAAAAATACAAATCATATTACAGACAACACACATTGAACATCTTTTCAAAGACAATGAAAATTAAAATATCTTCATCCACATATACTACTAAAGAGAAAGAGTCTTCTAAACAAAGTGTAATAATCTACATAAACAAGTAGATTATTATTGCTATCAAAACAAAAACCGCGACAAACACATTCTTCAATTCCAAAGATAAGCCGTCGCTTTTCTTTGCAATCATCGCCCTAAGCCTAGCAAACTCCATCTTATTTTCATCGTGGAGATCATAAATGTGAAGAATCTCATGTCTATGCCTTTCAAGAGTCTCACGCATTTTATGCAATGGAGGATACCCATTCACGTCGATCCTTAGCTTGGTTAATTCCTCAATCATAACCTCATCCCACCATTTCCATATGTAACATTTTCCATCCTTAATTCAAACCAAAATTTAACAAAAATATAACAAAAAATTGGCATCGAAATTCAACAAAAATATTTACACAAATCAACAAAATACTTACATTGAAATTCTGACATGTGTAGAATAGTCTTTCTGGGTTTGCCGTTGTCCGAGAAGGTTCAAGCCGTGCTCTTCCACCACAAAAACAATGAGTAGAAATCCCATAGGCATATTCACCATAGTCACGTCGATCCGCAGGTGAAGTTGAGCTGGAGCTATCCGACATTTTCCAAGGAGATAGAAAAGAAATAGAAAAGAAGAATCTCCCAATTTAAGATGAAAAAAAGAAGAAGATCGATTCCATTCAAACAATGAACCCTAAATCGATTTTTTATTCTGTAAAACAACACGATTTTCTCACAAGTTGTCGTTTTGGACATAACAAAAACGGTATCGTTTTGACGTCTGTGAAGTTTTAAAACGGAGTTAAGTAGTGCCAAGTCGTCGATATGCAGAAGGGTTATACTGCGGGTTACTTTTGACATCATAGTATTGACCTGCATTTATTTGACTTGGAAGTTTATCTTGCAAAACAATTTTACTTGGACGGTTTTTTCGCACAAAACACGTTTGATGTTGAATTCAAAATTTTGTACAGTTTCCAGATGTACAAAACACGTTACATACGATTTGATTGACAAAAGTATATGCAGTTCAAGATGTATACGGTGTGCGACTATATAAGTAGGCCGAACCACAAAACTATAAAAGTCACACCCAACCGCATAGGTCCATAGAGTATTTGGGGCCATGAACTACTATAAATCCAAATAAGTTAAAACTTAGTGATTTCTGTAGTTCATTTGTCAGATAAAGGGTTCGTCTGATAAAACTTTATCCGGCATTAACGATGACGGACATTATAACTGCACACCTCAGCCTTTTAAAGTCGCATAGTTGTAGCTGGAGGCAAACACGAATGACAGTTTCAAAGAGGATCAAACATCAATATTCGTAATGAAAAGTATGTTGATAACAAGAGATTTTAAGTTTAATGAACATAAACGAACTTCAAAGATGAAAAACATAAAAGCTAGGTTTAAGTTTCATGGTAGAGATACAACGAAAAAAAAACAACGAGACAACAACAATTTCAATCCGCCTACTCGCGCTGACCCACTTCGTCATTATCTCCATCATCACCAGACACCTCTTCTACCTCATTTACTTTATCGGTCACTCTTACACCACTTAATGCATATACTCCACCTGCTCGGGTGGTATACTTAAACTATTAGATCCGGATAACAATACATGAACTAAGAGTCTAAGAGCAGCGGAGACATAGAGAGAAGATTAGGAAAACTTACCTACAAAACGAAGCTGTATGCGTTTCGCAAGCCTACACAACTTTTGAAGATCTGCTGCAAGAGAGACAGAAGGCTCACCAGCGAGATCATCCTCCGTTGACAAAATGCAAGAGAGAGGAGGCTGCCGCCGAGGTGAGTGACCAGACGAGCCGGATGCTTTTGATTTTCCTTTGGAGGGAGAAACAGGGAACGCAGTTTTTGGTTTCTTATGGCATGATACAACGTGTTTGGTTTTGGGTTTAAGTGGAACTATGGGCAAAGATTTCTCAGCATAACCAGTTCTAGATCCAGATCCAGATCCTGATCCATATCTGGTAGACGAAACGCGATGGTTAAGATGTAAGTAGTATGCAAAAGAAGAGTTGAAATAAATTGTTTGCAATTGTACTTTCTTCCCGGACAAGTTACTTAGGGGTCGGGTGACAATTATTCCCTTGAGAATTATGGAACAAGTTACTGATGAACTATTTATTCAACTGGGTTGTATAGTTTTTTTTGTTTTTTTTTGTTTTTTTTTTTTTTGGGTTGTATAGATGGGCACTACTGGCCAACCATGCTGGCGGACTGTGAGGCCTATGCGGCGAAGTGCGAACCATGTCAACGGCACGGACCGATGAAGAATGTCTCCCCAGAAATGCTGAGCGCAATAACAGCACCATACCCATTCATGCGATGGGCTATGGACATTGTAGGACCGTTGCCTCCTTCGCGCTCCAAGAAGTTCTTGCTGGTCCTAACAGACTATTTTACTAAGTGGGTTGAAGCGGAAGCATACCACGAAGTAAAATCGCCCCAGGTCGTCGCGTTTATCTGGAAAAACATCATATGCCGGCACGGCCTACCTTACGAGATCGTAACGGATAACGGGACCATGTCGTTAGTGCTTCCGTTAGCAAAATTAACAATCGTTAACTCGGGGGTACGAGTTTACCAATTTTTTAAAAAAGAAGGTTTTAAAAGGCAACCAAAATTAAATGAGTATTTTTATTCCAAATTTGATACTACACGTATTAAACGGCCAAAAAAAAATTAGATGGCGGTTTTTTCGGGTTTTTTCCCCTTTTTCTTTTGTCAATCTTTTTGAAAAGTATTCCGCAATAATAATAATAAACTATTATCGCAAAGAACTTCTCTTGGTCAGGCTGAACGAAGTGGAAAACAACGCATTAGTAAAAAATTGCTCGTAGGACGCAACTTCTTCAAATAAACTCTCCATTTTCTCCTAAGAAAAGATAATTAGCATCCATACTAATCTTCACATTCATACTAGTATATATAAAAATATCTTTCTAGCTCCACCACAGGTATTATCCTTTGATGTGTTCGATCGATTTTTGTGCACGAAAATGGGTAGGAAAAAGTTCACAAAGAGGAGAAAGTTTGCTCATGATGGTGAAGATGGAGAAGGTTCGGATCCCGCGTCCACACATGTTAAGGTGAATGAAGCTCTAACGAATGAAGACTTGTATAGGGAAGTTCGAACGAGTGTAGAGGACGAAATAGCTCCGGTTGGTAATGGTGAGGGATATGGTGTGGAAGTCGCAAGATTATCCGAAGAAGTAGATGAGATCGACGGATCTCCGGGTTTCAATGGTGAGGGAAATGAAGAAGTCGGACCGAGTGCAGGAGAAGGAGACACGGACTTGGGAAGAAGTCCAACCGACCACATCGACGAAATGGTAAGTAGAAAGAATTTAGATTCGATTGAAAAGGTTGGAACTAGGGAAAACTAATTAGTTTGGATGAAATGGTAATTAGTCTAGTGAATGGATTCGATTAATATTTAATAACTTGGTAAAACTGGTTCTTGCAGGATACCGAGGAGGAACCGATAGCACCACTAAAACCTCTACGCATGCAATTCGCGCCGGCGGAGTATAACAAGAGAATTAAGTTATCGACGAGGTGTTATTTGGCCGACGTTTTCGAGACACTAGAAGCGTTTGAAACATCCGCTCAACGATTTTGAGCGGAGTTGGTTTGAGAACCATCCGCAGTTCAAACACATTTTCCACATGGCAAGGCACCGTAACCACATGGTTATGGGCATGTGGATGCTTCTGCTTCGAACGGCATGCATTGAAAAGAAAAAGGAAGCTTGGTTCGTCGTAAATGGCGCTCCCATCCGCTATGGAATAGAGGAACACGCCTTGATATCAGGATTAGACTGCCGCAACTATCCACTCGATTATAAGAAATCGGGAAGCATGGACCTTGTGAATAGGCATTTTAAGATGAAGGTAATTAGACGTGCGGACGTGAAACAAAAGCTTCTGGAAATGGATCCAACGTCCCGTCCTAGAGATAGGTTAAAGATTGCGGTCCTCTTCTTCTTATCCAGCATTGTTGTAGCGCCGACAAAGACTGGAAAAGACGCAACTAAAGTTAAAAAGTTCTTTCAACGGGCGGTGAATGATCTGAATTTTTGTACGACGTTTCCTTGGGGAAGATATTCATTTAATCACATGCTAGGATCGATATCACACACGATGGATCACTTTGGAGGGATCGTCAAGGAGGGTGTAATATGGCCGGTTCCAGGTTTCTGTCTTCCATTGGAGGTAAGTGAAAATTAATAGAGGTTAATAGTTATTATAACATATTTCAAGAATTATCTCTAACTATATGTGCGTTGTGTAGCTTTTAGCTTTCGAAGCAATTCCGGAATTGGGGGCTAAATTCCTAGAAGAAGTTCATGCCGCAGACTTAGAATGTCCTAGGATGTGCAAGACAAAGTTCAAGAAATGTAATATGAAAGGCTTTCCTCTCTCGGAAATCTATGAGGAACTTGGTAAAACTAAGGTTAGTTATCTCATATGCATACATTTTGAGTTATTTTTTTTATGTGTTAAATTAATTGTTTGCATCCAAAGGAAATTGATAATATACTGGAAGCTCGAGATGAAGACGAAAAATCTCTTCTAGCGTTTATCACGGAAAAAGATGACGACGTTGATAAGCATGATGTCGTTGTTGAGAGTTGGATGAAGTGTATTCATAAAGGATATACCGTATTGTTTGAAGAGATGTACAACGATGATGTGCAGAGCCGACGTGGAGAAGAAAAAGCCGCCAATGAAGGAACGGGAAACACGAGTGTAGCTGATTCGGTGGATTTGGTTGATCAGGTAAAAAACATGAAATCTGAAATGGCTGAAATGATGAATTCAATTGTGGACATGATTATAGGGTTAGGCAAACGAATGGGACGCATGGAAGATTTTATGAATGAGAAAGTTCATGAGAAGGCAAGGGTAAGATTTTGTAATTCAGAAAACTTAAGATTTTGATACATCGTAATTTTAAAAACATTAAACAAATAGAAAGCTTATAACAGACTTTCGAAATTATAATTTACAAAGAATAGGTTCCTTTAGAGACACCGACTTTGATAATGGAGATCCAGGCATGTGAGAAGAGTCTCCGGCAAAACCAAAGAGTTTTTAATGTGTTGTTGGTCCAATGTTTAACGAATTTCATAAGCTGAGTTCAGAAGTTAGCTTTCCGCTTGGTCAGACATAAATAGTGCGCAGGTCTGACCAAGCGCTTGGTCAGACATAACTAGTGCGGAGGTATGACCAACCGCAAAGTTAACTTCTTAACTCAGCGTATCGAAGTCGTTAAACATTGGACTAACAACACATTCAGAACTCTTTGGTTTTGCCTGGATCTCCATTATCAAAGTCGTTGTCTTTAAAGGCGATGGAGACACGAAGAAAGCTCAGGTAGCATCTGTTTCCATGTCACTTGGGTCTGGGCTTCCTACAAATAGAAGAAATAGTGTTAGTATGCAATTCCATTTATTTAATGCAATTCCAAAGAAGGTTTAAATGAACTCACCGTAAGTTTTGTGGAAACCCAATTCTGGCAGCACTGTAATACTTACAGTGTCTATAGTTACCAATGGACAAACAACAGAAGGGGCATCTGTGGTTCGGTTCATAACTTGAGAATCTATATGATTCGAAGAAAAATAAAGTAGATCGATTTCAGGATTCTTCGAATAAACGAGAGCATGTTTGAAACGAGATGAGGAAAGGAAGCACACCATTGCTATTAAAGATTGCCATGGGGGCCTTCTGGATTTATAGAAAGTATGCGAAATGAAGTTTTTAGCAGAAGAAAACATTTAATATTAATTAAAAAAAACATTTAATATTTATTGGAAGGTCGCCAGTACAAATAGTAATAAAGATATGACAACCCCTCGGCCCCTGACGAGCCAACCGTAAGGATCCACGTCCTCATAATGTATCAATTTAAATGTCTAAAAGTCCTGTCAAATGCATTAACTTCGTTACAGATTACAGTAGAGCATTCTGCATTTATAGAAAGGATGCGAAACGAAGCTCTTAACAGAAGAAAACATTTAATATTTCATTGGATGGTCAAAATAACAAATAGTAATAGAGATAGGACAACTCGGCGCCGCTTGACGAACCAATCGTAAGGCGACACGTCCTCATATTGAAGCATTTTCTTGAAAAAGAATTATCAAATTCATTAAATATTGTATCGACAAAAAGAGCCCTTTTCCATTCCAACTTACTAGTATCAACCTTCATTTGAACATGGAACTTTAAGAAGCATCGGTAAACTGCATCTCGTACATATCTGCTGTCTAATAGGTTGTTCTTTATGCCCATGAATACACTGAAGGCAACAAAGGTTGTTGATAATTAGCGTCTTGTTCTACTTCAATACTAAAATAATCATGTACTATGTTTATCCACACCTAAAATCTGAACTTAAGATATTCATCGCCATTTCAAATCAACTAAAGTCCTACTGATTCACATAACATCTAAAATGACAAAACGGTAAATGGATTACCTCGAGAAAAGGTCTGGCGAGATCACACACAGGATTGCCGCTTTGAGATATCCCAACTGGTGAGGGTCCGCCTCCGTCCATGCCGGAGGAAAAATTATCAGATGGACCCTTTATCTGATAAATGAACTACAGAAAGCCCTAATTATCTATTGTTTGGATTTATAGTAGTATACTCCATGGCCCCAAATACTTTATGACCCTATTTCTGAAGATGGAAGAGCAGATAGAGACCTCGATTATGTTCTCCGCATGTTCGTCCCCATCCATCTGGCAGATTCAAAATATATTAGGCAGAGTTAAGCTATAGCCTGCTAGAATACCAATGATAAGAACACGGCAGATCCGGATCTAGCATCTAATCGGTCAATCAGCTTTTTGGGGTTCTATTCTTCTCATTGAATTAGTATCTTTATGCACACATTGAAATTACTGGTACATCCTCAACTATGAAACTAACGATAGACGAAACATTATTTCGAACCCTATATAGTTCCGCCGTAACCCTGTGTCTTGATAGTTCTCCGATATCGCTATTTCTAATCGCAAGTTCTTATCTTCCCCAACCGATAATCACGGCGTACTTCGTATAAAATACAGTGCTGTACGCATCCTTCACTTTTAGTAACAAAACTCGTACACATTCGGGAAGACGGTTTTCGCTGTCGATTGAATATGCATTTGTTGGCTGTTTTTAGAAAATGGAAGGCAGGGACGAAGTTGGAGTTCAACGTTGATTCAAGTAAAGGAAGCAAGTTGTTTATTGTTGACGAACAAGTCAAGTATGAGGAATTTCTCCGCATTATTATTGAAGATTTCAACTGGATACGCAACAGAATTCACTCGAGCTTTCTTATATGTTGCCAAAACATATGATGGAGAAACGGCCTTCCGACACACCCCCGGTCATCGTGGAAAACGATAGACAGCTTGCACACTTAATCACATTGTCAAAAGCGAAGACAATCCGTCTTTATGTTGCATTGCAAACAATCAGTTGTCGTCGTGACACTGCTGAACCTACGGAAGTCAGAGACATCGGGTTTGTGGATTTTAATAATATGGGTACAGATTATAACAGAGGCTGTTTTCACTCTGCGACGGCCCGCCTCTCCCCTGCAATGCCGATGAAATCCCCACGGTGCCTTTGCCAATGATGAAATGTGGAAGTATTAAGGTTGGCGATATTTTTGTTGACAAGAAAGCATTAATTCGTAAACTTCAAAAGATTTCAGTCTTTCAAAAGTTTGATTTCGATATCAAAACGTCGCGTCCGACGTGTTTTGTTGCGAAATTTTTTGTTCCTAATTGTACGTGGAGGATTCGTGCGTCACCCTTGTCAGGTACAGGTAAAGAATCCTCTACGGAATTTAGCGTAAGGATATTTACAGAACTTCATACATGCTCTGCTACCGATAGGTATTCTCGTCACCGAGAGGCTGATGCGAAATGTATTGGGAAATTATATGTTGATTTCGCTAGATGTGGCAGTGATCTAAAACAAATCAAGCCTTTCCATATAAGGCAGTGGATGAAGTCAGCACGTGGTGTCGACACCGGCTACACGAAAGCGCACAGTGCGTTGGCATATGCACGAGAGATTGTCAAAGGCACTGCTCGTGCTGGTTATTCGGACTTACCTGCCTATCTGTACAAAATAAAGATAGCCAATCCAGGTACGATTACAAAGCTCGAACATGACGCGAAGGATCAGTTTAAATATATGTTCATTGCTTTTGGTGCTTGTATCAAAGGATTTGAGTTCTTGCGGAGAATTGTCGTCGTAGATGGAGCTCATCTAACTGGGAAGTTCAGAGGGGTTATGCTAGTCGCGGCAGGACAAGATGCAAATGGGCAAATCGTTCCTATAGCATTTGGTATTGTAGATTCAGAGAATGATGATTCATGGGAATGGTTTTTCAAGCAGTTGCGTGGTGTGATAATTGATGATAATAATTTGGCCATCATTTCTGACCGTAATGGATCAATTCCCAAAGCCATTCCGAAGGTTTTCTCCAATGCTAATTGGGGAGTATGTTTCTATCACCTCAAAAATAATTTGGTCGCAAATTTCAAAAGGAAAGCAATGATAAATGTGGTAACAAAGGCTGCATATGCATATCGACTAACAGAATTTGAAAGCCATTTTGCTGTGATTCGTCGGCATAACAGCGATTTGGCAAATTACTTGGTGAAAGCCGATTTTTGATTTTGGGCTGCTGCACATTTTCCTGGTGATAGATTTGGTGTAATGACGAGCAATATTGCAGAGTCCATTAATGGCCGTCTCAAGGATGACAGATCATTTCCTATTGCCTTTTTTGTGGATGCTATTAGAGGGCTGCTGTCAAGTTGGTTTGTTGAGAGGCGAGAAGAAGCTGCCTCATTAAAAACAAAATTTAGTAAAAAGGTTGAAGGCTTACTTCATGAAAGACACGGTAAACAGGACAATTTAAGTGTTCAATTTATTGATTCAAACCGTAGCTTAGTTACCGGTGGAGAATTTGACTGTCTGGTAGATCTACATGAGGTAAGCCAAATAATTGTGAATTTTAAATTATCTTGTCGGATTCTCAAAGCTATGCGAGGCGGTGGACGAGCCGTAGGCCAACGCCTCTGATTATATTTCTTTTCTTTGGCAGAGACGTTGTACATGTAGACAATTTGATGTCGAGAAGATTCCCTGCGAGCATGCGATAAAAGCAGCAGATAGTCGGAAAATTGATGAAGCTACTCAGGTGGCTGCTCAACACAGCAAGCATAAATCGATTTTCTTCCCTATGAGTTCTAGTCTCAATAAGAATGCTAGTTCTTACTGTTCATATGTTATGATATGAATATACCACACCAATTCGTTATGTATCGATGATGAGAAGATTCCATTGATACAGAGCCAATTCCAATAGACTTATTGGAGGGTCCCATTGGCGTGCATCCAGTAGGAATTGAACCTACGAATTCGCCAATTATGAGTTGGGCGCTTTAACCATTCAGCCATGGATGCTTAGTGGGGATCCTCGTACATGGTGAATAACCAAATTCCAATTGAAATGAAATCTTTAGGATAAATCAATGCAATTTAGGAGGAATCAATGAAAGGACATCAACTAAAATCCTGGATTTTTGAATTGAGAGAAATAGTGAGAGAGATCAAGAATTCTCACTATTTCTTAGATTCATGGACCCAATTCAATTCAGTGGGATCTTTCATTCATATTTTTTTCCACCAAGAACGTTTTAGAAAACTCTTGGACCCTCGAATTTTTAGTATCCTACTTTATTGTATTCATCGTAATCCGAAGCTATAAACCCTCAAGACAAAGATTTTGTCCCCCCCTTCAGAAGTAATGACTCTCAGGGTTCTGCCACCTGATGTTAAAGTGCCTTCTGGGAGACCAAAGACGAAGAGATACCGTTCAGCTATTGAGAGGGCTAAGAGGTTCAAGCGTAATCAAGGGAAGAAAAAGACGACTAATCCTCTACAGAGTACTGCCTGCACAAAATTGTTGAAAACGAATCAGTCTTCACCGTCCAAACAGAAGAAAACTTTTGTGCCGTCAACTCTAACACCGAAGAAGACAAACAAGCGAAAATTAAATTCCCCATTTACTCCAATGCCCAAGAAGAAAGCTAAAGTTTTAAGGCAAACTCCCCAACGCAATGGCCCCGAGTCGATTCTCAGACGTTCTTGCAGATCAAAATTGAAAGCTTCATTTCCTCAGTGTACTCCACCCCCCGCGAAATCTACAACAATATCCCCATCCCCAACGATGAGAAAACGTTTGTTCCCGAGTGGCCCAACACCAACGAAAAGGACGCGCATGTGTTCAAAATGCCACAAAGCTGGACATTATCGCTCCACGTGTTCATTCAAATAAACTCTGCGAGCTTTCCTTTAAATTTCCTTTAACCTAGGCGGTGCTCTTCTGCGTCTTAGTTGCTGTATTTCTTTGATACTCTATTAATTAGGAGACAAATATGGTTCTCTATTAGTAACGAAAATAGTAAACTTATGATTTAAATGATATTTTTCCCGTTCTTTATTACACTGGCGTAATGCCATCTTCTGCCATAGAAAAAAAAAACTGAGATAGACAATAGGGTTAACAATCGTGGGTTCTTTATTACACTGGCGTAATGCCATCTTCTGCCATAGAAAAAAAAAACTGAGATAGACAATAGGGTTAACTGGCGTAATGCCATCTTCTAAAGAAGACTTTTTTTTTAACATAAGTCTTGGAAACGAGTTGCATACTTGTAAACAAAGCATCTACGACAGAGATGAAAGACTGAAACATTGTTTAGAAAACAATGTGGGAGGCCACCACCATATGTAAAAGAATTGTCATACAAGCCACCCCTTGGAAGAGTGTTCATTGGTAGGATAGTTTTTGAGAAGCTTTCAAAGGTTAACTGACTGTGGAAGCGCATGAAGCGTATCTCCTTCTGGCACCGCAAGTCACTAAAAGACAATCAATAGTATAATTTTATTGAAGATCGCAAAAAGAAAATGTCATAACGATAAGTAGCCATTTATTACGCAAACAAGACTATCACAAAATTTATGGATTTTTGGGCCTTAAGAAAATCTGGCGTACTTTGACAGAAAAAGAAGTGTCATTATCCTAAGTGGTTGACTCCTTCAGGCAGCGCAAGTCGCTAAAAGACAATCAATAATATAATTTTATTGAAGATCGCAAAAGGAAAATGTCATAACAATAAAAGGCATTTATATACGCAAACAAGAAAATCTGACGTACTTTGGCAGAAAAATATGTGTCTTTATATTCGTTACGAAACAAATATATGGAAAACAAAAATATATTATTCGTCTACTGTCAGGCATGATGTGTCGTCTTTCCGTTGGCTTATTTTTCGGCTTCGAGTTGTTCATTTACACGTTCTTTTTGACGAGGACGAGTTGTTTTTTCTCTTTATGAGCGTTGTTTCCCGTGTTGTAACGTATATAGATTGCTTATAGATGTAGAAGAGTCTGAAAACTCATTAACAAGATCATCTCCAACACGCCCTCTAACCTACAAATTTGAGGGGTTTTTTAACTCCAACAGGCCCTCAAATTTGAGGGTGCAGTATTCAACACCCTCAAAATCTTTTTCATATTTGATTTTAGTCTTTATACTTTATATATCTTACAAATAATTCAATTAAATTCAATTACTTCAAATATATTCATATAAATTCAATTATTTCAAATATATTCATATAAATTCAAATACATTAAAATTATTAAAATATAAAAGACATAACATTTTTACAAAATAGATATAGAACAATAATATTACATTGAGCAGTTTAACACAAATTTAAATTAACATTACAATAATAAATAATACATACATTTAATTTTTTAATCATTTTTATGTTTTATTTTAGGGTTTGTGACATGTTTGGGCACTTTGTGAGTTTTTATGAGCATATGGGGTACAAAAGAAGGAGTAGGTACTTTTTCTGAGTTTTTTCACTGTTCAACAAAAATCAATACCGTTATACCCTTACTACACGTGGATAGTTAACCCAACTATGATTAACTTGTTTAATCTCAGCCGTTGGATATCCAGGAGAGATAAATGATCTAACGGTTCGTTATCATTGAAAGATGAGATGATGGAATTGTGTGGATATTGCCGACAAAAAAGATCTAATGGTTGTGGGTGGGGCACGGTATTCGGAGTGGGGTTTGGTTGTAAAGAGAGAGAAATGAAGGTAATGGATTATAATAAAAAAAGGATTATAAGTTCTAAATCAGAGATAAACATATTTTTTATTGTATAATAAATTATAATTATTCTTTCTTTACATTTGAAAATCCATTTTACTATAGTTTATAAATTAAAAAATCATATAACACAGAAATATTTTTAAAGGATAAAATAAAAACTATCCACATAATCTTGAACACATGATAGGTTTTTATAATTTCACATCAAAATTGACAACACAATCATTTAGAATTACCGCTCATACATGCACATCCACTAAACTCTAACCACGTGGTCATTTCAATTCAGGTCTAATTTATTTTTTTCACTATAATGAGAAGTATGTAACCATAAACCCTACAATCATTGTAGGCAGTCATGGTTCTTCAACCATAATATCCTAAACCCAAACCATAAACACTAAACCCTAAACCTTATATACTAAACCCTAAACCCTAGAAATTAAATCCAAGCACCTAAACCTAAACCCTAAACCCTAAACTCAAAACCCTTAATTTTAAAACCTAAACCATAGAGATTTAAACCTTAACCCTAAATACTATACCCTAAATAGTAAAAGCTAAACCCTAAAAACTAAACAAAAAACCCTATACCCTAAACACTTAACACTATAGCGATAAAAACGAAACCCTAAACCCTCAACAATAAACATTAAACCCTAAATACTAAACACGAAATACTATATCCTAAACATAAATACTAAATGCTAAACTCTAATTATTAAACCCTAAACCCTAAATACTATACCCTATCCATCATAACATAGTCACATGTTCGATATAAATTAAACCCTAAACCATAAACAATAAATCCAATACGCTTAACCCTTACATTACCATCAAAATATTGCGACGGGGTTGGATAAAAACCCTTTCCATGTAAACCTAACCACAAGATTCCATATACGCTCAACTTCTAAGACTATACTATACCCATAAGAAACGAAACCCTAAACCCAAAACAATAAAACTAAACAGTAAATACTAAACCCTAGATACTAAAAAAAGGAACCCTAAACCCTAAATAAATACTAAATACTAAATCATAATTAATAAACCCTAAACTCTAAATCCTAATCATAATTAGTAAACCCTAAACCATAAACATTAAACCCTAAACCTCTAAAGTCAAAACCCTCAACTCTAAACCCTAAACCATAGAGACTAAACCATTAACCCTTAACCATATAACTAAACCATATACCATAAACCCTAAACCATAAACCATAAAGACTAAACCCTTAACCCTTAACCATATAACTATAACTTATACCCTATACCTAAACCCTAAATCCTAAACTCTAAACCCTAACTCTAAACTCTAAACCCTAAACATGAAATCCAAAACTATAACCCTAAACCCTACAATACAACCTCTAACTTTTATCCCTTCAACCTTAAACCCTAACTTTTATAGATACAACATCAATAACCACCACTTTGGGTCCATAATAATCTAAAACATGTTTCTTAATCTGAAAACAGATAACATTATTGAGATCGATGTGTTCATGTACACAATCGTACAATATACACTCGTATTGTTGTTTTGTTTATATTGTGGATATGACCACTAGAACTTGTTTCATCATATTTTATCACGATCTTTTATATAACGTAACACTTATTTTGTGGACAACATTATACAAAAATCACATTAGATTTGTAACATAACAAAATACTGGCTTCCATAATGCTTTTTCTATACATAAATCATTTATAAATTCATAATGCATAATACATCATCCATTATGTGTCATCCATAATGTGGCATCCATAATATGTCATACATAATAGTCAATAATAATAGTGGTGACTGATAGAGATAAGTGTGGGAAGTCATTGACACAAAATATTTTTAAGGGACAAAATATAAACTATCCACAGAATCTTGAACACATGACAGTCTTGTTTTTAATTTATATCAAAATTTACAACGCAATCATGCCAAATTATTGACCATCTATGCACATCC